TCTGGCTAAAAAAAGACGAGGATGCAGCGCATTGATGAGATCATTAATGCAAATAATACCACAGAGACACAATAAAACGGTTTCCAGCTATAATCAAACTAAAATTGTTAGCTCTAAGACAAGAACTCAGAGCTTTACTACTCGACTCCTTTGACAAAACTCATCGTAAATTTAAAGCTACTTCTTATTCCACTAGCAAAAAGGCAGGGAAAGCTATGGCCTTGTGCCTTAAAGATCAACGCATGAAAGCAAAGATCCCCTATATCAGGGGTGGGCAATTGTGGCCCTCCAGCTGTTGGTGAACTACAAGTCCCATCATGCCTCTGCCTTAGGGAGTCATGCTTGTAACTGTCAGTTTTGCAATGCCTCATGAGACTTTTAGTTCTACAACAGCTGGAGGGCCACAGTTGCCCACCCCTGCCCTAAATTAATGCACATAATGCCTTCCTTAACCATTTGCCGCCCGCCCTATGGCCGAATGGCGGGCGGCAAATGTCATCAGCGTTCCGGGTGGACGCCATATGGCATCCTCCCGCACATGAGCAGATTGCGTTCCTGCAAAGCGGCGCGATCTGTAACCGGCCGTGTACCCCGGACATGGCCGATGACAGATCTCAGTATCGGCCCCCGTTGCCGGTACCATGTGACCTGCTGTGACCAATCACAGCAGGTCACATGACAGTTGTATACAATGGATGGCTTCATTCATGCCATCCATTGTATACTACTGCCTAGCTGTGAATGGTCACAGCTAATCACATGCACGTCATGTGATTAGCTGTGGCCAAATCACAGCTAAGCACAAAAAAAAAAAACAAAATCGATGTCATTCAGGTAAATGCTTGCTTATAGCAAAGTAATTCTAATTGTGTAAAAAAAAAAAAAAAAACAAATACTGATCACTTCCCCAAAGTAGTACAATGTTACTATGGTAACATTGTACTACTTTGGTCATAGTGAAATATGAAAAAAAAATCTTAAAAAAAAGAAAAAAAAAAAATTTAATAAAAAAAATGTATGAAAAAAAATTATATATTTTTTTTATTTTTTTTTTTGTCACCAGTCAGTGTCCCTGATCACCGCCATGCCAGTTATATGACGACGCTGTACTGCACTGGTGACAATATGTAAAAAAAAAAAAAAAATAGTGAAAAATTTTTTAAATTTTCTGAAAAATTATGACAAAAAAAAATACAACTTCAAAAAACTCACCATGCCTCTTATGAAATACGTTGGACTGTCTACTTTGCAAAAAGGGGTCATTTGGGGGATATCTGTACCGTTCTGACATTCTTGGACCTCAAGAAATTAGATTGGCCGTCAGTACTTCAGGATTGATCAATATTTAGATCTATACCATAGTTTGTGAACTCTATAACTTTCCTACAAACTAAAAAATACATCCTAATTTGGGTTATTTTCACCAAAGACATGTAGCAGAATACATCTCGGCCTAAATTTATAAAAGAACAATTATTTATTTGCAAACTTTTATAACAGAAACAAAGAAAAACTTTTTTTTTTTTTTCAAAATTTTTGGTCTTTTTTTGTTAATTTAGCAAAAAATAAAAACCCCAGTGGTGATTAAATATCACCACAAGAAAGCTCTAGTTGTGTGAAGAAAATGATAAAATTTTAGTTTGGGTACAATGTTGTATGACCGCGCAATTCTCATTCAAAGTGTGAGAGCGCTGAAACCTGAAAACTGGCCTGGGCAGGAAGGTGTAAAATTGCCCAGTATTGAATTGGTTAATAAACAAGGATCAAGCTGGCTTTATCAAAGGTCACCAAACTACAGATGCCACTAGGAGGTTAATATAATCCATGTTGCAGAAAGATCTAGAACGCCTTCTCTGTTCCAATATTTGGGCGCAGAAAAGGCGTTCGATAGGGTTCATTGGGTCTATCTAAGAGCAGTGCTTATTAAATTTGGGTTCAACCATAGAATAATTTCTGTCATTATGGCACTATTTTCCAACTCATCAGCTCAAGTGTATATAGCTGAAATGATCTCAACACCGTTCCAGATAACGAACGGAACACGTCAGGGTTGCCCCTTGTCATACCTAATTTTTAACTTGGCTATAGAACCCCTTGCTGAACACATTAGGTCAACATCACTGCTTACAGGATTCCACATAGCTTCTACCAAACACAAAATCGGCTTATTTGCAAATGATGTAATATTAATGCTCACACAAACCCTCACTCTTCTTTGACAGCAGTGCATTCTATCTTACAGAGATTCAGCAAAGTGTCATACTACAAAGTAAACTCTGAATGTCCTGGAGTGATCCAGCCAGAGCCCAGACTTGAACATCTCTGTAGAGATCGGAAAATGGCTGTGCACCAACTCTCCCCATTCAACCTGATGGAGCTTGAGAGGTACTGCAAAGAAGAAAGAGAGAAATTGCCCAAAAATAGGTGTGCCAAGCTTCTAGCATCATATTCAAAACAGCTTGAGGCTGTAATCTGGTGCTAAAGATGCTTGAACAAAGTAATGAGCAAAGGCTGTGGATACTTATGTACAGGTGTTTTTGTTTTTTTTTTTTGGGTTTTTTTTTGTTTTTTATTTTTAATAAATTGCAATGATTTCAAAACAAACTTCTTTCACATTGTCATTATGGGGTATTGTTTGTAGACGATTTGTAGAATGAATTTAATCCATTTTGGAATAAAGCTGTAACAACAAAATGTGGCAAAAGTTAAGCACTGTGAATACTTTCTGGGTGCTTGCACTGTATGTAGCATCATCTACATTCAATAAGTGGTGCTGTGTTGCAGCAGTGGTACAGAGACTTTCCACTGAAAGTGACAGAATAGGGAAGCAAAGTGGAAATTAATGTTACCAATAACACAGCAGCTCCCACTGTTTAGTGGAAAAGGTGCAACTCATTAGGAGCCCTCAGACTAGATTGGTAGAGACACTCTAAATCTGAAAACACTCTTGCTAACAGTATTCGAAGGTCTGCAAAGTGCCACTGGCAGAGTCAAGTGCCCAAAGGACAGAGTCCAGGCAGGTCCCACAATCTTTGACCCAGCAGGGTCCTGATATGACTTCCAGGGCAGCGCTGTGGATGAAAGCCCAGCTCAGCAGCATGTAGAAGATATCCTGAATGAAGGAAAATCTTGATAAAGAAATTAAACGGCTTGTAAAAAAAAAAGGCAAACTATTATCAATAGAGAAAAGATGACTAAAAGCAGGGCAAAAAAAAAAAAGTGAAAAGTGAAAATAGGATACAAAATATAACACTGTAAATATACACAAATATTTAAATCATTTGACATAAGTCCATCAACTGAAAAATGAAAATTGTTATGAAGTGCTTATTGATCAACCAAAATCACCACGTGAACAACATAATAATTGATTGAGTAAAGTGCACTCAAATATCACCACATGCTCCAGAGGAAAGCCTCCCCCAGTTCAGTAGCACTCACCAGAAATCATGGCCCATCCAAATCTGATAGGCAATAGCGCTTATGGTGAGTTGCAGCGTAGTACAGATCATCAATCAAAAAGCCCTTCATCAATTAGAGACTGATATGATGGTAGGACATCCTCCAAACTATTACACTCCGTAATCAAGGAAAGATATAAAAGGAAACTCATAGCGTGAATCCATTAAAAAACATTTATTGGGTAGAAAGTATCACACTGAAAGTATCACATGAAGTGAGCGTCTCACCCGATCCTCCTCGCTGCACGCGAGCAATACATCCCTTCTGGAAGGGGAAGTAAGGTGGATTCCTCATTACAGAATAAGTAGTGCAACGAAACACGTGAGAGGGTCGGGCCGCACGACATTTTGTAATTAGGCATCCACCTTACATCCCCCTGCTGGAAGTGAAGTATCGCTCGTGTGCAGCGAGGAGGATTGGGTGAGACACTCGCTTCATGAGATATACACATACCCTTAACGGTTATTGTGGATATTTTGGCATGCTTTCATTTATTTCATGTGAGTGCGATACTTTCTACCCAATAAATATTTTTTAATGGATTCACGCTATAAGTTTCCTTTTACATCTTTCCTTGATTACAGAGTGTAATAGTTTGGAAGATGTCCCGCCATCATATCAGTCTCTAATTGATGAAGGGCTTGTTAACTGATGATCTGTACTACGCTGCCACTCACCATAAGCGCTATTGCCTATCAGATTTGGATGGACCACAATATCTGGTGAGTGCTACTGAATTGGAGGAGGCTTTCCTTTGGAGTACGTAGTGATATCGAAGTGCAGTGTATTGAAATTATTGTTATGTTGTTCACGTGGTGATTTCAGTGGATCAATAAGGACTTTGCACTTCATCACAATTTTCATTTTTCTGTTGTTGGACTTATGGCAAATTAACTAAATATTTGTGTATATTTACTGTGTTAAATTATAATTTTTTTTCTGCTGCTTTTATTCATCATTGGCTCATGAGGAGATTATTGCATTATTTACTATTAGGGCAGCTGCATGCTTACACATTCTATGCACTCATTTATTGACTTAGGTGAGTAATTTATTATGCATTTTTTCAGGTGTTAGATGTTTTTTTTCTCAACAATTATTGGACAATCAACTTTAGATTTTCCAAAGCTACATAATATGAACACCTACATGATCTAACAAATTAGTCTCCAATCTGACACGTCCTTGCACTACATAATCTTTAGCAGATTAACAGATTGTACAATCAAATTGTAACCTGTCTGGAAAACTTAGCGAAAATTGTTAAAGTAATGCAGCGCCGTATCGCAAAAATTTGCCTGGTCAAGAAGGGGGTAAATTCTGGAGGGCAAAAGGTTAATTGGACTGTGCAAAGCTCTGCAAGATCAGAACTGAAATGCTACTTTATATTCAGATGTTATGAGGAGCATAATCACTGTAGCAGCCCTGTTGTGCAACACCTTAGGGGTCCTACTGTTTCTAAACTCTGTGCATGAGAGCCAATTAGTCCATGCAGTTTGAGGTTTATAGTGTAAACAGTTTAACCACCTTACCTGATGATAAAAACCTGCTTGAGCCATGGGATCTGGTTGAGCCCACCTGTAACCAACATGAGGCCATGATGTAAAGGTTTCTCGCCTGTTTGCTTCACTGTACATCAAGGACCTAACAGGGTACATGACAAAAAGAAAAAAAAAAAAAAAACATGCTAATGAGCAGTTGGCAAAAACAAAAGATAAAGCCAAAAGGAAGAAAAAAATTATGGCATTCTGTAAATTAACATTTCGGATCTATCCTATTATGGCAAGTATGCTTGCTCAATTCATGTGGAAATCTCAAAATTAAAAAAAGTTATGATCTAAAAAGTTTATTTACACAATAGAGTTGAATATATCATGCACTAAAATATACTGAAGCCCAAAAACACAGGCAAAACTTAATGGCAGGTTGTAAACCGCTTCAGCAACCATTTACAACAGTTGTGTACCAAACCTGTGACAGAGTGGACATGCAAAGAAGACGCTGAGTGGGAACAGATCAGACACACTGAGAAAATGCTAAGCGGGAACATTGTGAGGCTGGGTAGCAGGAGCCGTGCAGAGTAGAGTGGAAGTGGAGTGCATCAGGACTCCAGCAGTGAACGGTGGTGCTTTGAATCAGGAGCAGCAGGACTGTGACTGAATTACTGGAGCTGGAGTGTACTGGGGGCTCTGCTGACACTGTGCCGGTGAGTAACTGGGAGCATTGCAAGTTCCGTGGGCTGCAAGTAACTGTGAGCATTGTAAGTACTGAGGACTATGAATAACTTAGAACTATACTCAACATGGAGCATTGGGAGTAACTGGGAGCATTCAGAGTACTGAGGGCTGTGAGTAATGGGAGAATTGTGAGTACTGTGGGCTGAATAACTGGAAGCATGATGTGTACTGAGGGCTGTAGGTAACTCGGAGCATTGGGAGTACCAAGGACTGAGTCAAGGGAAGCATTGTGTACACCAAGGGTTGCGAGTACTGTGGTCTGTGAGCAACTGGGGGAATTGTGTGAACTGAGAACTGTGAGTATCTAGGGCATTGGGACTACTATGATATGAGTATTTATTTGGACAATGAGTACACAGACCCTGTGGACAGGAAAAGGAAGAGAGGACACCAGAGGATCAGATGATCAGCAAGCCAGAACAATAGGAGCGGATGCCAGAGGCTGTGTGAACAGAGCAAAAGGAGAGGATTCCAAGAAATGTGAAATAGGAAGGAGAAGCGGATGATGGGGCACTCGTGGTCAGCAAGCAGTAGCAAAGGGAAAGGATCAGGGAGCGTGAACAGGAGGAGGGAACCCCGGGGGTTGTGTGATCAGGGAGCAGGAGAAGAGGACACGGGGACCGTGTAATCAGTGAGCGGGAGATCCCAAACAGCTACAGAAAAACTAGTGCTCAGAAAGCTGGAGAAGATGGTGATTCAAGCATAAGCAGGAAACTATTCTCAGGTCACTTAGAAAGAAATGTGGCCACATATTGAACTTGGAAGAGTGGTTTAACCTTAAACTACATAAGGAGTTCTTTACTGTCACAGAGGTAAGGTTGTCAAACTCCCTTCCACAGTTGGTGGTGTCTGTGGGGAAGGTAAATTAAAAAAAAAAAAAAAAAAAAAACTCCTAGAAAGGCATCTTAGTGACCGCAATATAAAGGGATATGGGAAATGGTATAGACAAACAAACATGCACACCCACATTCCCACACAGGTTGAACTCGATCTGATGTCTCAAAGAGGACACAGGCAACAATGGACTCCTGCTACTGTCAGTCAAGTCCAGTTAGGAGGGAGCGAGGGCAATGGCCAAGCCATGCTGTGTGTATCTATGAATATGCACACAGCTCAGCTTGCAAGCACCCTGCATGGGTGCCCCCTCAGCAAACGGTTTGCTAAGGGTGACACTGCATGAAAGAGGAGCGGACAGTGCCAGCGGGGGGATTTCCAAAACAGATATAAGGGACCGCTCTGTGCAATATGGCTGCACAGAGCAGGCAAGTATAACCACTTAAATAAAAATTAAAAAAAAAAAAATTTCCTTTAGTATCAAGTGTTCCAAGTCCAAAAATTCATCAGCAACCAAACCACACAACAAGGTCCCCAAGCGGATTTCAATGACATTAATAAAAAAAAGTCCAGAGCCTAAATACATGCAACAGTCTTTTCAGTTAATCACCAGGTAAATGTATCCAGTGAATCCAATCTCTAAGACATTTACTAGATGTACCGACCCATACATCAATAAATGGGTCCAAAAATTATATATAAATGAAATGTGTACTATGTGTTAATAAAAAAAAAAAAAACAAAGAAAGAATATAAATGGATTGAGACTGTGCTATAAACATTGATAGTGAGCAATACTATATGTCCCCAATATATTCACACAACATTTCACTTAACATATTTTGTGCTCAACTTGTGAATAAAAACATCCATGTCGTGACACCAAGCCCAAAATGTGCATACAAAATCATTTAAAAAGTGTGTTCCAAAAAATGTTCTCCACCAGGAGTCTCCAACTTCAAAGCAAACATGAATGCACCCAGTGAACAGTGAAACACTAAAATCTAAAACTCAGAAAAATATGTGACCCCTTTCTGTAAAAGTGGTCAACAAGGGCGCACAACTGGAACTCTACTTAAAGGATAAGTTCACCTTTTGGACAAAAATAATAAATGCACATTTTTTTGCAGGTGAAAAAAAAAATCTACATTATTTTTGTCCAAAGGAGCCTGAAAAAGCATTTCACCTACGATCAGTAGATCACTGATGCCATGCAGGTCTCTCTCCCGTACAGGGGTGTACAATCAAGCAGATATTCTGACAGGAAGCTTCAATGAACTACAGCATCCACAGCGCCGTGGTAGTTCATTGAAAACTACAAGTCTACAGCTGCTAAGGCTGTCGGGACTTGCAGTTCATTCATTCACAGAAGTCCACGAATGAATAACGTGGCCGTGTGGGCGGCGCCGCGCACAGCCACGCTGTGTTCAAATCTGACAGATAATACATGGAGAAGTTCCCCCGTACTATCTGTCAGAGGGAAGGGGGGTGCAGCTGCAGCTATGGGAACATGTTATGTGTTCCACCCTAAAAATGGGTTGAACATGTAACATGTTCCCAAAGATGAACTTATCCTTTAATGGGTTTTGATGAATCAGAACCAGCTCGGCTTCTGTTAATTTGTGTTAAAAGGTGATTCAATCATAGTGATATCATCTCCTCAGTGTATGAACCAAAGGGATGAAAAGTGCCTATAGTGCAGTAATTCTATTAAACAAGCAATAATTCAGACAAGCAGATGTTCCCTTACATTTATAAGCACCATAAGATCGGCACCAACACAGACAACAGTATGTACAGTGAGGAACAGAAGTATTTGAACACCCTGCGATTTTGCAAGGTCTCCCACTTAGAAATCATGGAGGGGTCTGAAATTCACACTGTAGGTGCATTCCCACTCAGAGACAGAATTTAAAAAAGAATTCAGGAAATCACATTGTATGATTTTTAAAGAATTTGTCTTGCACTGCTGAACATAAGTATTTGAACACCTAAGAAACAGCAAGAATTCTGGCTCTCAAAGACCTGTTACTGTGCCTTTAAAAAGTCCACCTCTACTCCACTCCTCATTAATCTAACTTAGTAGCGCCTGCCTGATCTCTTTAAAGACACCTGTCCACCCCACAGTCAGTCAGACACCAACTACTACCATGGGCAAGATCAAAGAGCTGTCAAAAGACACCATACACAAAATTGTGGACCTCCACAAGGCTGGAAAGGGCTACGGGGCAATTGCCAAGCAGCTTGGTGAAAATAGATCAACTGTTGGAGCAATTGTCAGAAAATGGAAGAGGCTAAAGACGACTGTCAGTCTCCCTCAGACTGGGGCTCCATGCAAGATCTCACCTCGTGGGGTATCACTGATAAGAAATGTGAGGAATCAGCCCAGAACTACAAAGGAGGAGCTGGTCAATGACACGAAGAGAGCTGGGACCACAGTTTCAAAGGTCACTGTCGGTAGAACACTACGCCGTCATTGTTCCAAATCATGCATTGCGCGAAGGTTCCCCTTCTCAAGCCATCACATGTCCAGGCCCGTCTGAAGTTTGCCAATGACCATCTGGATGATCCAGGGGAGGCATGAGAGAAAGTCATGTGGTCATATGAGACCAAAGTAGAACTTTTTGGTCTAAACTTCACTCGCCGTGTTTGGAGGAAAAAAGAAGGATGAGTTGCATCCCAAGAACACTATCCCTACTGTGAAGCATGGGGGTGGTAACATCATGCTTTGGGGGTGCTTTTCTGCAAAGGGGACAGGACGACTGCACTGTATTAAGGAGAGGATGAATGGGACCATCTATTGTGAGATTTTGAGCAACAACCTCCTTCTCTCAGTCAGAGCATTGAAGATGGGTCGTGGCTGGGTCTTCCAACATGACAACGACCCAAAGTACACAGCCAGGATAACCAAGGAGTGGCTCCGTAAGAAGCATATCAAGGTTCTGGAGTGGCCTAGCCAGTCTCCAGACCTAAATCCAATAGAACATCTATGGAGGGAGCTGAAACTCTGTGTTGCTCAGCGACAGCCGCAAAACCTGACAGATCTAGACGAGATCTGTGTGGAGGAGTGGGCCAAAATCCCTGTTGCAGTGTGTCCAAACCTGGTCAAGAACTACAGGAAACGTTTGACCTCTGTAATTGCAAACAAAGGCTTCTGTACCAAATATTAACACTGATTTTCTCAGGTGTTCAAATACTTATGTTCAGCAGTGCAAGACAAATAAATAATTTAAAAATCATACAATGTGATTTCCTGAATTTTTTTTGTAAATTCTGTCTCTCAGAGTGGGAATGCACGTACAATGTGAATTTCAGACCCCTTCATGATTTCTAAGTGGGAGAACTTGCAAAATCGCAGGGTGTTCAAATACTTCTGTTCCTCACTGTATATTACAATGCATCGCCGTTCCTCAACGTGTTTCATCACACTGACACCATCAGGAAGCCCCTGTGTAAAAATCTGTAGTTCCTGTTTAGTAAACACAACATCTATTAAATTAAAAAATGTCAGTTTCTAAACGTCCCATTTTCTTTTTCATATATACACCCCCACATCCTCTCCTCCTTTGGGTTCTCTCTCATGGTATCTAGATGGGGAGTTGGGGGATCCTGTATGGACCAATCCTCCATTCCCTCTGTGGATTGTAATTGTAGTGGGTGGCCCTCATGGGTCTGGTAGGGAAATAATTTCTGCTGTTGTAAGATTGTTCACAATTTTCCAGAGTTCTGTCCTCCAAATGGGCAAACCTGTCTGCGGTGGGTACCCCATATTTAGGTGTGTATGGTACTTAATTTCCCTGATTGTATGTTCCGAGTCCCTGTGGTCCATCTATAGGTTTCTGTGGGCCCATGTTCCCAATATTCATCCTCCCGTCCACTCAGTGTCTGGCGTCCCCTATTTTGGTTCAAATTCCCATTTGTCCCTAATTTGCTGCGTTACTACCTCTCTTTCTATAGATGATTCTTTTGATGGTGTATCCTGCACATCTTGCCACTTATACACTTCTGATTCCTTATAATCTTTTACTTCCTCATGACATCAATGTGACAAAAACATTGAGGCAGGACTTTCGATCACGTCATTTCCAGTCTGTGGAATGCACGCTGGCTCCAGGACGTGGTGGAGTGTCGGTGCATGGTAATACACATAAATGCAGGCTGTACTGTTGTCGATCTTATGGCACTTATACTGTAAATGTAAGGGCTCATCTGTTTGATTTATTGCTTTGTTTTAATAAAACTACTGCACTACCAAACACTTTTCATTCCTTTGGTCCATACAATTATGAGGGGAGATGATACAGTTCGGTCCATATATATTTTGGCACAGGCACAATTTTCATACTTTTGGCTCAGTGTGCCACCAGAATAAATTAAAATGAAAAAATCCAAATGAATTTGAAGTGCAGCCTTTCAGCTTTAATTCAAGGGGTTGAACATAAATATCAAGTACAAATTTTAGGAACTGCAACCATTTGTATACACAGTCCCTCCATTTTCAGGGGCTCAAATGTAATTGGACAAAATGAATATGATCATACATAAAATGTTCATTTTTAATTTTTGTTGAGAATCCTTTACTGGCAGTGATTGTCTGAAGTCTGGAACCCATGGACATTACCAAAGACTGGGTTTCCTCCTTTCTGATGCTTTGCCAGGCTCTAACTGCAGCTGTCTTCAGTTGTTCTTTGTTTGTGGTTCTTCCTGCCTTTAGTTTTGCCTTCAGCAAGTGAAATGAATGCTCAATTGGGTTGAGATTAGGTGATTGACTCAGCCGTTGCAGAATATTCCACTTTTTTTTTCCTTCAAAAGCTCCTGGGTTGCTTTTGCAGTGTGTTTTGGATCATTGTCCATCTGTACTGTGAAGCGCCTTCCAATCAACTTTGCTGCATTTGGCTGAATATGGGCTGACAGTATCTCTCTAAACATTGCAGAATTCATCCAGCTGCTTCTGTCTTCTGCCACATCATCAATAAACACCAATGACCCAATGCCACTGGAAGCCATGCATGCCCATGCCATCACACTGCCTCCACCATGTTTCACAAATGACGTTGTGTGCTTTAGATCATGAGCTGTTCCAAGCCTCCTCCACACTTTTACATTCTGGTACAGATTAAATCTTAGTTTCATCCATCCAAAGAATGCTTTCCCTGAACTGGTCTGGCTTTTTTTTAGATGTTTTTTGGCAAAGTCTAATCTGGCTTTTCTATTCTTCACACTTATAAATGGTTTGCACCTTGTATTTGCTCTCATGAAGTCTTCTCTTGGTTGTAGACTTTGACAATGATACGTCCAACTTCTGGAGGGTGTCTTTCACTTGTCTGGATGATGCAAATGGGTTTTTTCTTTACCATAGAGATCATTCACCACTGTTTTCTTCCAAAGACGTCCATGCCTTTTTATGTTGCTGAGCTCACCAGTGTGTTCTTCTTTCCTCAGAATGTACCAAACTTTTTGATTTGGCCACTCCTAATGTTGCGGCCATCTCTGATGGATTGGTTTCATTTTTTGAAGCCTTGCAATAGCCTGTTTGACTTGCATGGACATTTCCTTTGAACCCATGATATAGGTTCACACCAATAGATTCCAAATGCAAATACCACACTTAGAATCAACTCTAGACTTTTTACTTGCTTAATTGATGAAGAAGTAAAGGAGTAGCCCACACCTGGTCATGACCATGAGACAGCTTCAGATTCAATTGTCCAATTACTTTTGGTCCCTTGAAAAAGGGGAGATGGGTACTTTTAAGAGCTGTAATTCTAAACCTTTCCTCCAATTTGGATGTACATACCATCAAATTGACCCTGAGTGTGTGCACTTTCAACCCATATCAATTATAGAACTATAGCTTGAATATGTTTTGGTAAATACCAAAAAAAAAAAAATTTAAATTGTGCCTGTGTCCCAATATATATGGGCCTAACTGTATCTCTATGATGGAAACACCATGAACACAAGTCAACAGAAGATGAGCTGCTTCTGATTCATCAAAACCCAATGGAGTGGAATACAAGTTAAGTGCTTGTTGACCACTTTTAAAGAAAGGGATCACACTTTCTGGTGAGTGTTTAGTGTTTCACTATTCACTGGGTGCATTCACATTTACTTTAAAGTGGGAAGAGAAGACCCCTGGTGGATTCTTCCTTAAGAACTTTATGATCGGAACACACTAAGTGACTTTCTATGCATCTTTTGGACTTGGTGTCACAATATAGATGTTTTAATTCACAAGCTGAGCACAATATGTTAAGTGAAAAGTTGTGTGGATATATTAGGGACATATAGTGTTGCTCACGATCAAGGTTTACATCACAGTGTCAATTATATTCTTTTTTGTTTTATGTTATTAACACATAGTACACATTTGCGCCCCCGTTTCATTTTTTATATAATTTTTACTAGTGTTAATACACTGTATACGGTGGCAGCTGTTTTTTCTTGGTGCACAGGTTAATATATAATGGGTCCAAAGAAGCTTAATCACTTCAATGTCTGTTTTCCTTAATCCCCTTCTTAGCCTCTCCAATGTGTCCCCAGAAGAAAGAATGTAGTAACTTGCAAACTCTTAACAAACCTAAGTGGTTATACAAGCACGGTGTTATGCACGCACGTAAGCGCATTAGTTGAGAGTGCATGGAAGTTAGTGCAGTATATGAATTTCGATTTTTTTGGAACACACTGGAGAGGTTAAGAAGAGGATTAAAAGAAAAGTATGAGTTAACCGGAAAAAAAAAAATTGTATACTCACCTAGGTGGGTGCAGCATTGGTCCCATGCTGTGCACCGCAGGCTCCAAGACTGAGAATTTAATGATCAAAGACCACTGATTGCTCAGTTATCAGTGTTACCTTAGCAGAAAGCTGGTAATTCTCACTGGAGCACTGAGCTGTGGAGGGGCCAGGAGCGGCTGGGCTCAGCCTTACAGAGGGATATGATCTGTTCATATTTCATATATGAGGTTTACAACCACTTTAAGCCAGTCTTGTTCAATCAGTTCTCATGTTTTGTTGGTCCATCATATAATCTTTTTTCAAAATCACAAATACAATCAATCATTTTAAAATAATGTTACAACAGAGAATGCATTAGACAGCAATTTTCTTTTAGAAAAACAGAAAAAAAAAAAAAAAAAAAAACATACCGATCTACAGACCGACCAGGCCCAACACCAAGCTCTGGCCTGGCACTAGGTAGCAGATAAGACAGTCTGTCCATTATAGAAGAGGCTACGGGCAGTGCAGCAATGTTTTGATTTATTTTCTTCAGCTCATTCACAATGGCACCAGTCACAGACTTTAACACATGATGAGGAAGATGAAATGTGACAGTCGCCCACTGCATGAAAGGCAAAAAAATTAAGGACAAGTTTAATAATAAAGGGGAGTAAGGCAGTAAACTGGCTGTATTACACATGGAATATGCATAATGCTAAACAAGAGGTAACAGATTACACTTGTAAAAAAGCAAAGTATAAACAAATGTTGAAAGTAATTTCCAGACGTTAAGGCAATGCCATTCATACAGCAATTTTCAATTTCATCAAGTTTTAAGATTCTCAGCACAAACCACTAAATGGATCTAAATATCCTACCATCTAAAGTTACTACTGTACACATTAAACCATTAAAACTCAGTGTGGTAAGTTGACTTCACCAGTTTCAGAGTTTTCTTTTTTATTTAATTGCTGGACAAGGATTTAAAATAGCTGAAAAAATGTGCACAGCCAGCATGAAAATGGAAATTACATGCAAAATGTGCTTGTACAGGTACCACAGATCGAAAGAGCGGACCGGGACCTTTCCGTGAGTACCTCACATGTGTGCTGGGAGCGCGCAGGGGGGCGCGCTCTCAGCGCATATGTTTTTTATTACATGAACGCAAATGTGCGGCCACTCAGCGTCTAGGCCCAGACGCCGGGAGGCCGCACATTTGCGTGCGGCCGACGTGAAGGGGTTAATGCATGTTTTTTGTATACTCCACCGTGCTCAAGTCACACTAGTGGTGACCGGCATTTTTTGCTCTATAAAAGACCATTCACTGCTAGGACACATGATACAAACGGTTTTCTGTGTGTCCTATTCGAACAGTCCAGCTCTACAGTGATCTGCGATAAAATGCAGACATGTTGTGTTTTATTGCAGCACAATGGACAGGATTGCATGTGGAAGTAGAGAATGGCAACTTTTGTTCATTTCAAATACAGTGTTGCATGACCGCGCGCAATTGTCATTCAAAGTTCAACAGCGCTGAAAGCTGAAAATTGGCCTCGGCAGGAAAGGGATATGTGTCCTGTAGGCTAGTGGTTAAACTAATACTTTGTTGAAGCACCTTTTTATTTTATTACAGCACTCTGTCTTTTGGTTATGAGTCTATCAGCATGGCAAATCTTGACTTGGCAATATTTGTCCACTCTTCCTTGCAAAAACACTCCAAATCTGTCAGATTGTGAGTACATCTCCTGTGCACAGCCCTCTTCAGATAACCCCACAGATTTTCAATTGGATTCAGGCCTAGGCGCTGGCTGGGCCATTCCAAAACTTTAATCTTCTTCTGGTGAAGCTATTCCTTTGTTGATTTGGATGTATGCTTTGGGCCGTTGTCATGCTGAAAGATGAAGTTCCTCTTCATGTTCAGCTTTCTAGCGGAAGCCTGAACATTTTGAGCCAATATTGACTGGTATTTGGAACTGTTCATAATTCCCTCTACCTTGACTAAGGCCCCAGTTCCAGCTGAAGAAAAAAAAAACCCAAAGCATGATGCTGCCACCAACATGCTTCACTGTGGGTATGGTGTTCTGTTGGTGATGTTTTTGCGCCAAACATATCTTTTTGAATTATGGCGAAAGAGTTCAACCTTGGTTTATTCAGACCAGAACACATTTTCCCACATACTTTTGGGAGACTTCACATGTGTTTTTGCAAAATTTAGCAGGACTTGGATGTTTATCTTCTTAAGAAAAGGCTTCCATCTTGACATTCTACCCCATAGTCCAAACATATGAAAAATACAGGAGATTGTGGTCACATGTACCACACAGCCAGTACTTTCCAGGTATTCCTGCAGCTCCTTTAATGTTGCTGTAGGCCTCTTGGCAGCCTCCCAGACCAGTTTTCTTCTCGGCTTTTCATCAATGTTGGAGGGACGTCCAGTTCTTGGCAATGTCTCTGTTGTGCCATATTTTCTCCACTTGATGACTGTCTTCACTGTGTTCCATAGTATATCTAATGCCCTGGAAATTCTTTTGTACCCTTCTCCCGAATTATACCTTTTAACAAATGAGTTCCCTCTGATGCTTTGGAAGCTCTTGGCAGATCATGGCTTTTGCTGTAGGATGTGACTAAGAAAATGTCAGGAAAGATCTACTATAACAGCTGAACTTTATTTGGAGTTAATCAGAGGCACTTTAAATGATGGCAGATTTGTACTGACTCCTACTTAACATGACTGAATGTGCTTGCTTAATTTTGAACACAGCTACATCCCCAGTTGTAAGAGGGTGTGCACACGTATGCAACCACATTGTTTTAGTTTTTTATGTTTACTTCCCCCCTAAAAGATTTCAGTTTGTTTTGCAATTGAGTTATACAGATTATAGATCACATTAAAAGGTGGAAAAAGTTCTTAAATTATTTATCTTTGTCTCTTTTTACATCACAGAAAGCTGAAATTTTAACAGGGGTGTGTAGACTTTTCATATCCACTGTATTCATTTGGGGTGCGCTCTTAATTTGCCTTTAACGCACGTTAAACATGATGTAAACTCAACAACTTTTGTTTAAGAGTCAGTATTTTGAGCAAGTGTGAACAAGGCCTAAGTGCAATGTGACAAGCTGAAATAAAAGTAGATCAGTTAATAGCACCAGTATTGGCACAGAGATCTAACCATATGGGGCAGCAGAGTAAACGTTTACTAGAAAATAAACTTGGAAAGCAATTTTCTACATGCAAGCATGTGTTAACACTACTATAGCATGAATAAAATAGGAATTTCAATTCACCTGTAAAATCCATTTCCTGGACACAGGGCACTAAGTTACAAGCGTTATGTCGCTACAGGACACTGGCAAAAGAAGACTGCAGGGAAACCCCCTACACAACCCCCTCCCACTTCAAGTTAGCCTTAGTTTTATAGCATGCAATAGGGAGATCATAGAAATGGAGGATAGGCATCTGCGTACTGTACTCCAAGAGAAGGATATTACTGGCAAGTCAAAAATCCTATTTTCCTCTTCATACAGAACAGGTTCTCTTATCATTATGACGGGATGTCCAAATGCAATCCAACTAAGTGGTGGGAAATTCTGCACACATCACTAACAGGCCAAAAAAAAAAAACAAAAAAACCTTAAACTGGCATCAGAGGTGGTCTAAACATCCACCTAATAAAACAAATGTGTGAAGATACCTTGTTGCAGCCTTGCAAATCTGAGAAACAGATGCCCGATGATGAAAAGCCTATGAAACACTAACAGATCTGGTAGACTGTACCTTAACAGGGAAGGGAGGAAGGCACTGTTTTTTATGTTTTTTTTTAATCTGTTCCAGTGCATATTGCCCCTTTTTTTTTGCTAAAGTTTACTGGGTTTTAGTTTTTAGGAGCCGGAACCCGCTGGCATCTTAACCAGTGACTCATCCCAGCTAAGTCATCAGTTTCTAAGGAGTCGGCGCCTGCCAGCATCCCAGCGATGACAGCAGAGTGTAAACAAGAGTCAGCATAAAAAATGAGGAAACATGCACCCCTTCCCAATTTCTCCCCCCTCCCCCCCACCACCAAATCCATACTAGGCCCATGGCAAAAAAAAAAAAAAAAAAAAATTGCATGGGGCCCCCCAAAAAATTCATACCAGACTTATTCCTTTTTTTTATGCAAGCTAGAAAACGCACTGGACTGCAGGTGGTATTAATTGGCCCTTACAAAGGCTTAGGCATGCTCCTCCAAATTATACCTTCTTACTGGTATTGAAGATGCTTAATCGCAATCATATGGGGTAAACAATGGGACATGCCTACTCACCAACACATTCCCAGATTTTATCACTTTAAAACACTACTAGCAGAGAAATACTTGCCGATTCCTGCCAGAAAACCAGTGAACAACTTTCTGTAGTGCGCAAATAATGCTGCTACTGCTGCACTTAAAATTCATTTATCAGTCCAACTTCTCAACTTATTTCCTGTTGGGCTAAACACATTCACCTTTTGTTATGGAGTTTAGGAGGCTGGTTTGATCAGTAATACAGCAGGAAAGAACTACAGCAGGACTGATAACACAGCTTGACATTTCTGTGCAACGTAGGAATCTACACACAGCAAATTAGGAGCAGGCTGGACCATAAAGTATTTTTCAGTACATGCAGCCCACAGACAAAAAGTTGCAAATATAGACTTTATTGCTCAGACATACAGTACCTTGAAAAATTATACAAACCTCTTTTTCCACATTTCGTCGTTTTACAACCAAAAACGTAAATGTATTTTTTGGGGATTTTATGTGATAGACCAACACAAAGTGGCACATAAAATTGTAGAGTGGAAGGAAAACGAAAAATATATTTGTAAAAAAAAATTTGAAAACCAAACATCTGAAAAGCGTGGCATGCATTTGTATTCAGCCCCCGTGAGTTAATACTTTGTAAAACCACCTTTTGCTGCAATTACAGCTGTAAGTCTTTTTTGGTATGTCTTTACCAGCTTTGCACATCTAGAATGACATTTTTGCCCATTCTTTGCAAAATAGTTCAAGCTCCGTCGGCTTGGATGGAGAGCATCTGTGAACAGCAATTTTCAAGTCTTGCCACAAATTCTCAATTGGATTTAGGTCTGGACTTTGACTGAGCCATTCTAACACATGAATATGCTTTGATCTAAACCATTCCATTGTAGCTCTGGCTGTATGTTTGGGGTCGTTGTCCTGCTGGAGGGTGAACCTCCACCCCAGTCTCAAGTCTTTTGCAGACTCTAACGGGTTTTCTTCTAAGAGAGCCTAGTATTTGGCTCTATCCATCTTCCCCATCAACTCTGGCAAGCTTTCCTGTCCCTGCTGAAGAAAAGCATCCCCACAACATGATGCTGCCACCACTATGTTTTACGGTGGGGATGGTGTGTTCAGGGTGATGCCCAGTGTTAGTTTTCCGCCACACATAGCGTTTTACTTTTAGGCCAAAAAGTTCAATTTCGGTCTCATCTGACCAGAACACCTTCTTCCATGTTTGCTGTGTCCCCCACATGGATTCTCACAAACTGCAAACAGGACTTATGGCTTTCTTTCAGTGATGGCTTTCTTCTTGCCACTCTTCCATAAAGGCCAGATTTGTGGAGTGCACGACTAATAGTTGTCCTGTGGACAGATTCTCTCACCTGATCTGTGGATCTCTGCAGCTCCTCCAGAGTTACCATGGGCCTCTTGGCTGTTTCTCTGATCAATGCCCTCCTTGCCCGGCCTGTCAGTTTAGGTGGACAGCCATGTCTTAGTAGGTTTGCAGTCGCGCCATGTGCTTTCCATTTTCGGATGATGAATTGAACAGTGCTCTGTGAGATGTTCAAAGCGTGGGATATTTTTTTTTTTTTTTTTTTTTATAACCCCGCTTTAAATGTATCCACAACTTTATCCCTGACCTGTCTGGTGTGTCCCTTGGCCTTCATGATGCTGTGTGTTCACTAATGTTCTCTAACAGCCCTCTGAGAGCTTCATAGAACAGCTGTATTCATACTTAGATTAAATTACACGCAGGTGAACTCTACTTACGAATTAGGTGACTTCGGAAGGCAATTGGTTCCACAAGATTTTAGTTAGGGGTATCAGAGTATAGGGGGCTGAATACTAATGCACACCACACTTTTCAGATATTTGTAAAAAAAATTTGAAAACAAATTTATCATTTTCCTTCTACTTCACAATTATGTGCCACTTTGTGTTGGTCTATCACATAAAATTCCATTAAAATACATTTACATTTTTGGTTGTAACATGGCAAAATGTGGAAAATTTCAAGGGGTTTGAATACTTTTTCAAGGCACTGTACACCTTATCAGCATTACAAAGAAAATGGCAGTATAACAGTACCATCAAGGTGCCTGTAATTCAAGAAAAAGATCAACTCAACACCTTTCATAAGGTCCAGGCTGTATTCCTTAATTCATGCACGTTTGATATGGGTGAAGACTGTTCCCACATAGACATTAACTCTTAAGTGATTACAAATCTGCTTACCAAATTTTATAAACAAAAAAAAATACATGAAAAAAATAACAGAAAAAACTGCCCATTTATGTTTTTCTTAAAATTTTTTCACAAAAAAAAAAAAAAAAAAAGGGAAAACCAAAATAAAAAGTTTTTTTTACCTTGGCAACCTTATGATTTGCTGCTGTCTCATGTGAGGTATTTTTGAAGCCATCTTTCAGCTGCATAATAAACAAATCATAGCCTTCTGCACTAGACACGTCAATTTTTTCCAAGCAAGCAGACAACAACTGCTGCACCTGCAATTCAAAAAAGTAATGCACCACAAATTATTACAAATAAAAGTGCAAAAAATTACCAGCAGAAAAATACAACCAGCTGTGATTTAAAATACAACTGTACTTTTTCTTTTATGTGAGGGAAGACAACAGTGGGGGAAAATATATACTTGTTCTGAGTATAATAAAATATATATGCATGAACGATCAACTCCCTGCTGTAGCCTTTCACCTTTTAACTTGATACAATGTTACAGGCTGGCCACTGGGAAAAACAAGAAACCGAGGTAACCATTCCTCCTGTCAACCGCAGACTAAGGCTAGGTTATCACCTATAGGTGCTGCAGCATAATGCGGCAGTACCGCTGCGTGTCTACTAAGGGGCTGCAGGTTTCTGTGCATGTCGGGACTGCGTGCGATACTGCACATTCCCGACAAAAGCAATGTGAACCTAGCTTTATGACCTCTCAGCTTACCAAACTATAAAACGCTTCATACCATCTTCCTATATTCATGCTAAATACAATTTGTTAAATAAAAATCTACAGCCCCACTGTTCAGCCAGAGTTGTACTCAGAGAGTGTTCAGAAAAGGGGTTAAAAAAGTATTTACTAAGATTTCATACAAACAGTATGCAGAATGTATAATAGGGGGAGCTTTTAAACCCCAAAGCTTGGTAATTTTCATTCTACTTGAAGGGCTGCTCTCAAATGATACTGTACAGCTTTTTAGGATGATCAATTACCAAGTAGTGCAGTAAACCTCTCATGCTTTAGTTACATCAGTTTTCAGCAGTTTTCACTTCCTCCCCCTCCGCATGGCAACAATATTCTCACAAGAGATAAGTAGGAGGACCCTCTGTCAGAGGGTTTTGCTTCTGATTCTCAACATCAGAAAAATGGAGAGATTGTCAGTATGATCTCTCAATTTTAGTCTGCACCAGTTCTTTATGAAGAGCTCTCCTCTGCTGCATCTATAAAATATTAACACTTCTACTTTTCATGTTTGATAATAGAGATTCCACCTTTGTTTTGCACATGTTGAACAGATTTTACCAAACTTCATTGCAGATTGTTACCTACTGTTGGACTGTGGAAATTAACTATATGAGTACCTGTGCCTTCTTACATCTGAATTGGAAGGGAATTCTGGCTAAATTAACATAATTGGATAATTTGTTTTAAGAAATAAAAGAGGGGAGAGAGGGGGGAGAGAGGGGGAGAGAGAGAGGAGGGGAGAGAGAGAGAGAAGAGAGAGGGGGAGAGAGAGAAGAGGGAGGGGGGAGATGAGAGAGAAGAGGGGAGGGGGAGAGAGAGAAGAGGGAGGGGGAGAGAGAGAAGAGGGAGGGGGGGAGAGAGAGAAGAGGGAGAGAGAGAGAGAGAGAGAGAGGGAGGGTGAGAGAGAGAAGAGAGAGAGGAGGGAGAGAGAGAAAGAGAGAGAGGAGGGAGAGAGAGAGAGAGAGAGAGAGAGGGGAGAGAGAGAGAGAGAGAGAGAGGGTGGGGAGAGAGAGAAGAGAGAGAGGGGGGGAGAGAGAGAGAAGAGAGAGGGGGGGAGAGAGAGAGAGAGAGAGAGAGGGGGGAGAGAGAAGAGAGAGAGGGGGGGGGAGAGAGAGGGGGGAGAGAGAGAGAGAGAGAGAGGGGGGAGAGAGAGAGAGGGGGGGAGAGAGGAGGGGGGGAGAGAGAGAGGGGGGGAGAGAGAGAGGGGGGAGAGAGAGGGGGGGAGAGAAGAGAGAGGGGGGGAGAGAAGAGAGAGGGGGGAGAGAGAAGAGAGAGGGGGAGAGAGAAGAGAGAGGGGGGGAGAGAGAAGAGAGAGAGAGGGGGGGAGAGAGAAGAGAGAGAGAGGGGGGAGAGAGAAGAGAGAGAGAGAGGGGGAGAGAGAGAGAAGAGAGAGAGAGGGGGGAGAGAGAAGAGAGAGAGAGGGGGGGAGAGAGAGAGAGAGAGAGAGAGGGGGGAGAGAGAGAGGGAAGGGGGAGAGAAGAGAGAGGGGGGGGAGAGAAGAGAGAGGGGGGGGGAGAGAGAGAGAGAGGGGGGGGGAGAGAGAAGAGAGAGGGGGGGGAGAGAGAAGAGAGAGGGGGGGAGAGAGAGAAGAGAGAGGGGGGGAGAGAGAGAGGAGAGGGGGGGGAGAGAGAGAAGAGAGAGGGGGGAGAGAGAGAAGAGAGGGGGGGGAGAGAGAGAAGAGAGGGGGGGGGAGAGAGAGAAGAGAGGGGGGGGAGAGAGAGGAGAGAGAGGGGGAGAGAGAGGAGAGAGAGAGAGGGGGGAGGGAGAGAGAGGGGGGGGGGAGAGGAGAGAGAGGTGAGAGAGGGGGGGAGAGAGAGGAGGAGAGAGAGAGAAGAGAGAGTGGGAGGGAGAAGAGAGAGTGGGGGGGAGAAGAGAGAGTGGGGGGAGAGAGAGAAGAGAGAAGAGAGAGTGGGGGGGGAGAGAGAAGAGAGAAGAGAGAGTGGGGGGAGAGAGAGAAGAGAGAAGAGAGAGTGGGGGGAGAGAGAGAAGAGAGAGGGGAGAGAGAGAGAAGAGAGGGGGGGGGGAGAGAGAGAAGAGAGAGGGGGAGAGAGAGAGAAGAGAGAGTGGGGGGAGAGAGAGAGAGAAGAGAGAGTGGGGGGGGAGAAGAAGAGAGAGTGGGGGGAGAGAGAGAGAAGAGAGAAGAGAGGGAGGGAGAGAGAGGGAGGGAGAGAGAGAGAGAGAGAAGAGAGGAGAGAGGGGGAGAGAGAGAGAGGAGAGAGAGAGAGAGGGGGAGAGAGAGAGAGAGAAGAGAGAGAGGAGAGGGAGAAGAGAGAGAAAAGAGAGGGGGGGGAGAGAGAGAAGAGAGGGGGGGAGAGAGAGAGAAGAGAGGGGGGGAGAGAGAGAGAAGAGAGGGGGGGGGGAGAGAGAGAGAAGAGAGGGGGGGAGAGAGAGAGAGAGAGAGGGGGGGGAGAGAGAGAGAAGAGAGGGGGGGAGAGAGAGAGAGAAGAGAGAGGGGGGGAGAGAGAGAGAAGAGAGGGGGGGAGAGAGAGAGAAGAGAGGGGGGGGAGAGAGAGAGAAGAGAGGGGGGGAGAGAGAGAGAAGAGAGAGGGGGGGAGAGAGAGAGAAGAGAGAGGGGGAGAGAGAGAGAAGAGAGAGGGGGGAGAGAGAGAGAAGAGAGAGGGGGAGCAGAGAGAGAGAAGAGAGAGGGGGAGAAGAGAGAGGGAGAAGAGAGAGAGAGAGAGAGAAGAGGGGGGGAGAGAAGAGGGAGGGGGAGAGAGAAGAGAGGGGGGGGAAGAGAGAGAAGAGAGGTGGGGGGGAAAGAGAGAGAGTTGGTGGGGGGGAAGGGAGAAGAGAGGTGGGGGGGAAGGGAGAAGAGAGGTGGGGGGGAAGAGAGGTGGGGGGGAAGAGAGGTGGGGGGGAAGAGAGGTGGGGGGGAAGAGAGGTGGGGGGGAAGAGAGGTGGGGGGGGAAGAGAGGTGGGGGGGAAGAGAGGTGGGGGGGGAAGAGAGAAGAGAGGTGGGGGGGGAAGAGAGAAGAGAGGTGGGGGGGGGAAGAGAGAAGAGAGGTGGGGGGGGGGAAGAGAGAAGAGAGGTGGGGGGAAGAGAGAAGAGAGGTTGGGGGGGAGAGAGAAGAGAGGTTGGGGGGGGGAGAGAGAAGAGAGGTGGGGGGGGGGAGAGAGAAGAGAGGTGGGGGGGGGGAGAGAGAAGAAGAGGTGGGGGGGGGGAGAGAGAAGAGAGGTGGGGGGGGGGGGGGAGGAAGAAGAGAGGTGGGGGGGAGAGGGAGGGGAGAGAAGAGGGGGGGGAGAGAGAGAGGGGGGGGGAGAAGAGAGGGGGGGAGGAGAAGAGAGGTGAGAGGGGGGAGGGAGGGTGAGAGGGGGGAGGGAGGGGGAGAGGGGGGGAGGGAGGGGGGAGAGGGGGGAGGGAGGGGGGAGAGGGGGGGGGAGAGAGGGGGGGAGGGGGAGAGGGGGGAGAGAGGGGGGGAGGGGGAGAGGGGGGGAGAGAGGGGGGGAGGGGGAGGGGGAGAGGGGGGAGGGGAGGGGGAGAGGGGGGAGGGGGGAGGGGGAGAGGGGGGGAGTGGGAGGGGGAGGGGGAGGGGGAGGGGGGGAGGGAGGGGGAGGGGGAGAGAGAGAGAACTGTCAGCACTGGGGACTGCATATGCTGACAGATCCCCTGCAAAGCTGGAGGGGGGGGGGGGCGTGGGGGAGCATACAGGAGCTGACCGTATGCAGGAGATGGATAGGGAAGGTGACTGGCGGCACATAGAGCATAGAGAGAAATGCACAGTCCTCTATGTGCCACCCGGCCCCCTCTCCAGCCGGCTCCATAGCTGACAGGTTCTCTGTCACCTCGCTGCTTAGCACACACACAAACGCCCGAGCACGCCCCCCTGGCCAAGCACAGCCCTTTGCAGAGACAGCACTGGTCCCTTCTGCCTGGGGGCGGTGCCGCCCCCCCGAAAAGTGTCGCCCAAGGCAGATGCCTTGTTTGCCTCGCAGCTGATACGCCCCTGCTTGTGAGTCCTCAGTTTTGCAGCAAGCAATGCAAAGTAACACAGCAAGAGAGGGGAGAGAGAGTAGCTTGTGTTTTTTTTACTCCAAGATATGGAATTTACAGAAAACTCAAAATTCCTATGGTTTTTATGCTGCAAAATAAAAACATGGGCATGACCGTAATAGATCCGGAGACGTCCCCAAGCAATGAATAAGAAGGGTGGGCAACAACAATAAAGTGTACAGAACTATGCCAGCAGTCCCAACACCAGGGGTCAACAGGCCCTACTACAGAGTGTAACTGCAAGCACCCCAAGCCCAAAAGAAACATGCACAGAAGAATGGAGGAGCACCTGATAGAAGTCTGAAAAGATAACAGACCAGGAGGCGGCCTTAGGAAACACCTACTGATCTAGTAGAGGGAACACATATTAGTTCAAGGAGTCCCTTGCCCTTTAAGGTGTACGTTCTTGTGATTAGTGGTCTTATCCATCTAGCAATGGTGGATTTTGAAGCAGGATGTTCCTTGCAAGATCCTGAGTGAGTCAGTCTTCCTTACAAAAGCTGTAGCCATGAGGTAGACATAAGGCTCCAACCATATACAGGAAGTGAAGAGCAATCTCCTTTGGAGTGGAGCACAACGAAGGAAGGTCTTTGTCTTCATTGAGATTAAAGGCGGACACAACCTTAAGAAGAGAGGAGGATCTTGGGCGCAAGGCTACTACTACTGTCCTTGTGAAGAATGAGAAACAGCTCCTAATGAGAGCCACTAACCCAGACACATCTGCCAGATGTGACGGCCACCAAGATGGCTACCTTGCAGGAGAGATCATTCAAAAGGTGTTCCCTGATGGGCTCAAATAGTGGTTTCTGCAGGACATCGAGAAATCAGATTTAGGTCCCAAGGATGCACAGGGTGCTGTTAAGGTGGTTTGATCTGAAACACTTTGAAATAAAGGTCTTAAATGGATTAAAGGCAAAATTGTCCCTTAAGAGTACTTAAACCTTTTTATCTGAAGGTTCATCAGAAGTTCGCTGCCTTTGCTATAGAAACATGTACAAAGGGCTGGAAATGCTGTGCTTAGTACACAAAATGTAGCAAAGATGTGGACCTAGCATGCATGCACAAGATTTTACATAGCAAGCAGGGAGGATTAGAGCGGCCAAGGCTTCACTTTCCCACAGCGAAGGTGGCCGCATGCATGTAAAGAGTGAGTAATAAAACAGCCAAATAAAAAATTGAAAATAATAGGGATTAATAACAAACTTGCTAAATGGCATAAACAGTCACGCGCGTGTTTGTGTGTGGCCTATGATGGAAATAACTACAGAGTCGTGACCCCTAAAACAGTTAAGACTTGGGCTTCTTCAGCCATGCCTGTAAACTCGGTGACTGAGAGAAAGGATGGAATAGGTGGCTCTGAGACAACAGGTCTGGCCTGTTTGTAAGGGGCCAAGAGTCATTTCCTAAAAGTCATGGTTTGTCTTTGTACTAGGTTCTTCTAGGTCAGTCTAGTGCAATGAGAGTCAACAGTTTCTTCTCTTGCTCTTGTAGCACCCTCCTCTAGTTAGTCTGCTAGCTAAATTTAGTTTTGGGCTCCACTGTAGTGAATGGAGCAGTGATTGATTGCAGCTACGCCCTGGAAGAAGGCATCCAGAAGATGGCTGGGGAGGTGATAAAAGAGCAGGCCTGAACAGACTGTTCTTTTCCCTCAAGGGAGGGATCCAGTTCTACTGGGGCTGCTGCCTCTGAAGGCAGCTTCAACAGGATAGGAAACTGCAGTCTGGGCCTCAGCAGCTGCTAGGCTGAGGGGCCTGGGGATGATTGCCTGACTATTTCATTTGCTGGAGGGCATTGCACTGAAGTCCTGGTCTGGAGAAGGTTCTAGTTAATCTCCCTAACTTTGAATCTACCTGGGGATGCTGGGTGTCAGAGAGCTCCTGGGACACTGCGAGCAATGACCTTGCTGGGGACTTACAGTTGTGCAAGTCCCATAAGGAAACCAAGTGCCAGAAGTGGCTTCATGGACTGCTGAGGTAGGGTCCTAGATGTACTGGCCCATTCCCTGATAACTCCAGAAAGCTGCTACTTTAGGATTAGAGAAAAGTTTGTCCTCCCCTTGTTACTGATTGTTTTGGGAGTATCCTGTCACCTTAAACCCCCCCTCCTGTTTAAAGTTCTTCAGCAATAAATACTAAAAATATATCCCCTAGACGGAGTCTGAATTGTTGGCATGTGTGAGACAACTTGTGTAACTGGCAGCCTCTGTACTACTGTGGGAGAACCTATCTAGTCTCAGCTGCCCCTTCGGAGGTGAGTGCTACATTATTTTGGGGAGCAGTTAAGGCAGAATTCACACAGGAAGGATAACGATTAGACTAAATGGTGTTGAAAAAATTATCAACGCATGCCAGTGCTAGGGGATCCTTGGGCTTGGCCACAGAGTAACTTGTTGAATCTGCAGGCCAGGATATTCATATCCTGAGTTCCCCAAACCCTATATCTCAAGTTGATGTAAGGGTGCAGGGCCCATTTCGCTTGGTCCAGGCAGTGAATACCGAGGTAATCGTCTTCCAAATGCCACTCCTGGGATGGGAACAAGAGAGATCAAAGAACAATGTTTTTCCATCTGAAATTATCAAGCTTGCTTCCTTCAAGGCTGTATGACTTCTCTAGTCCCCTTGGTAGTTTATGTAGGCCACAACTGGGGTGTTGTCTATTTGCACCCTGATCAAGTGTCTCTAAAAAAAGGGGTGGGTGCAGTGTTGCAAAGCCTTTTCATTCTTCTGAACTCTAAGATGGCAATGACCAGCTTGACTTCTTCAAGTGACCATGTTCTCTGAACTGTGAGAGATTGCAAACACTCATCCCCAGCCTGAGAGATTGGTATCTGTTATCACCCTTCCAGTGATATGGAAGAAGCAACTTCACCGTCGCCAAGATTGGATTGGAATATCAAGTTAGGGAGTTCCTTGCTTAGCTGGATAGGGGCATAAGCAGCTTGAGAAGGGAGCATGTTTGTTTCATGCAAACAAAAACTTGCTTGGACTGTGTCTAAAATAAGGTCAAAGTATGCTGGATGAAGGGAAAGTTAGAGAACGGATTCTTGAAATTGTGTCCTGTGGACATTTGCAGATACCTGGAAAGGAGATAAGTCTTTCAGAAGGTGGTCATTTGAAAACCCTGTGACCTTAGTGCCCTGAGTTCTTAAAAAGACAAGAAGGAGCGCATGTACCTTTGTGAATAATCGAAGTAGAGGAGAGGCAAATTGGCAATGTGGCATACTGGAAAGGCTGATCTCCTACTGCAAAATTGCAGATGGTGCTGCTGAGGTAGTTAATGGAAAAATGTATATAAGCATCTTGGATGTTTATTAATGCCAGGTATTCCTCTTGTCTCAGAGAGGCAACAACTGATCTTGACTATTCCATATGAAACTTTGGAACTTAAACGTACTTTGTTGAGGGATTTTAAAATGCAGGATAGGGTGAATACCCCCATTGGGTTTTGGTACTGTGAACATGTTTGCGTAAAATCCTTTGAACCTGTTCTCCAGAGGTACTGGAAAGACTACTATCTGAGAGAGTAGATGATTAAGGGTGTTTTTTCAAAACCTTCTCAAGGTTAGTCACATTTGCAGAAGAAAGAGGAGAGGGGCAGAGTTTGGAACTCCATTTTGTACCCTTATTAAATCACTGACTGAACCACAGGTCTGGGAGTTCTGTGATCCTGAGATGGTTAAACAGTAAAAGATGTCCCCCCTACTCTTAGGGTGAGGGTGCGCCTTCATTGGGAAAAGTACTTAGGGGTAGATTTGGTGAAAATCTTTCCAAATTGACCCAATCAGCATAGGTTGCCCATTCTATTTGTTCATGAACAGGGAATGTCCTTTTACACTTAGCAGGTGTCTTCCATGTCAAGGGGCTTGATGAGATTAGGTCCTTCCCCAGCCATGCAGGCTTGGGAAAGCAACGCTTTAAACGTCGCTTCCAGGTCTGCGAGATGAAGAAGTGGAGGGCGGACTCATGTCCACCCAGCTCCCTTCCACCCACCCGGTGGCACACGCCATGCTGGAGCCAGGCATGTGGAGATATGTCTCATACTTGCTGTAATGGTCAGAGAAACAGAGTGACCCTGTCTTACCTGTCAATGCCACTGGTCCCAAGATCAAGGCCTCACTCATCAAGGTTAGTATACTCCTGGAGGGGTCTGCAAGGTGTGGGATACATAGGAATGGACCGCAGCTCTTGACCTGTACAGCACCCTGTAGCTAACTACACATTTTGCACCAAGTGCCAAGAACACCACAAATGCAGGATCCAATGCCAAAACATTATAGGCTGTTCCCAAGTTGTTGGGTTCAGGTAAGGCTTCCGAAAGGTTTCACCGATCCATATGCACTGCTTCTTTTGTGTTATTATTGGACAGTGAAGAGTAGACTGAAAAATTGATTGGAGAATCCAAAGTAGAATAACCTAGTTAAGCCAAGTGTGAATTCTCCATAAGGTGAGGAGGTATAACACCTTAGAATACTAGCAAAAAAACCTGGGGACTCACAGAGTGAGTAAGGATTATTGTGGGGTGGGGGTGATGCAACCGCAGATCAAAGAGGAAAAGATGACAGCTTCCATGGCTGAAAAAAAAATAGGAAGGTTGAGTTGGGTCCTCTTTTTTTTTCCGGCTTTTCCCTCTGTTTTCACCAGGAGGAGGGGAGTGTTAGATGCAAGAGCAGATTTAAATACACTAACAATTTGAAGCTGAACTCAAGATAATACTTTATAAGCAGTTACAGTAACGTTTTTGCCTTTTCGGATAAAGGTTTAACATAAATAAAATTGATACTGTAAGCATCCCTGCCAGAGTTAAATGGTTTGTTTCTACAAAATGATTTTGATCTTTTGGTGGATAAAACAGACTTATGGGCCAGATCACCAGGCAAAAAAGATGGAAAGCCTAAAAAAAGAAAAAATACAGCCATCACATCTAAGAATTTGTAAACTGCAATATAATAAAATTTTTGCTTTTGCGTTTAATACTGCTTTAAGGAAGCCAAGTAGGCATGAAGTTGGGGGGAACCAAGTCTCAGATGCTTCAAGCATAGTTTACTGTCTTTATAGATAAAAAAAAAAAAAAAAAAAACTGACATAACATCCCCTGCAGTCAAAGCTGGCCAGATACACACCTCTCCCCACTCTAGCGGTCATCATGCACCCAACTAACTAAATGAATGGAAAAACACACACACGAGGAGGATGATGAAAACATTATCTTGCTGGAGCTGAGGCTGTTGGCAGTGCCTCTCTTCTCTGCGCTCTTCAAACCCTAAAATGACTCCAAAGACAGTTTATGAAACCTTACATTTTTGCATACATAGCCTGTAGGACCCCTGCAAAAGGTCCCAAAATAAGTTTTGTGCTGTATTTACATTAAAAAAAAATATATATTATAGTTGAAGTGCCTATTTAAAAAAAAAAAAAAAAAAAAAAACACAATAAGCACTTACCTCTGTAACTGGTAATTCAAGTTGGACAACATCATCTGGTTTACAGACTGGAGTTTGAAGCGCTGTGTCTAGTAATAAAATACCATTTAGATCTTTCCGACAGCCCACAGCATAATCATCCACAAATATAACTTTATCTACAGTTGGGAAATATTGGCATTTCAACCGTCCACCAGGCTTTGCTATATATGAGAAAAAAAAAAAACAAACAAAGCAAAAGTAAGCCACAAAATTGCACACTCAAGTCTTGCTCTGTAATTAATAAAACAACCCTGGCAGTAGCTACAAATGTGTTTATGAAACATAAGTACTTAAGTGGTAGTAAACCTCAGACATGAAATCTATACAAAGCATATCCCTCTATAGGGTGTACTTGTCTCAATGAGCACCAAGTGTCATTTATCTCTGCTGCCTCCTCTGCTATCTGCAGGAGTCACTTCTGACAAAAGGTAGGAAGGTAACAGGGGAAAGAGCTCAAGCACACAGCCCGTGATTGACAGCCTCAGCTCTGGTAACTGTCTGAAGGCTCAGACAAGCTGTATAAATGGTAGACTTTGAACTGATGTAAAGTAGAGAGGTCTGAGGATAACTAGGTATAACCTATGTAGGAAGATTTGTTTGATCTCTTTATTACCTGGATATATATGTAAGGGTTTACAACCAAATTAAATCTAAAAATATTAAAAACAAAATGTCACCCAGTAAAAAATATTAAAACAATAGTTTTAGTCACCAGTTTTTTTGCTTGTTTTTTTTTTTCAAATGACTACCTTGTGTTTTTTTTTTTTTTTTAAATTACAACCTTGTTTAGAGGATAAGTTCACCTTTTGACCAAAAATAATAAATGCACTTTTTTTGCAAGTAAAAAAAATCTGCATTACTTTTGGTTGGAGGAACCTGTAAAACATTGCACCATCGATCATCAGATCGCTGGTGCCATGCAGGTCTTTGCAGATCTGTCAGTATATCTGCTTGTCCATATGGGATGTACGGGCAAGCAGATATACTGACAGGAAGATTACCTGAAATACCACGGTGCTCCACAGTGCCGTGGTAGTTCATTAAGACCTACAAGCCGACAGCCGTGAATGTGAATGAATGACACAGCCGTGTGGGCGGAGCCCCACACAGCCATACTGTCTTTAAAAAGTGACAGCAAGTACAGGGAACTTCTCCCTGTACTGCTGTCATGGGGGGGAAATCAGGTAGAGGTTGCAGAATGATACATATTCCACCCTAAAAATGGGTACAACATATAACATGTTCCCAAAGGTGAACTTAGCCTTTAAAAGACAGTATTGGTGTCCTTTTTCAATGAAGTTTTAGATCTATTTTAGAGGTCATTTGAGAGGCAGCAAGGAGGTAATATGTTACCTCCTCACCACCTGCTTTACTGCTTTAACCCTGAAAATGTTGATCCACTGCACCACAACAGTGTGCATCGTAGGTAGTTTGAGGTGCAGCCCCATAGGTCATTTTCAGCGTGGGTACCACCTGCTGAATGTGATGTGCCATTTGATTTTTGCCACCACATGGATAAAGCCCCTAGCAGCTGCACTTCTGTTTAGGTGGGCGGCCAGGGAGTTGTTAAAACCACGGCTCAACCTCCTATTTGTACCACTGCCCTCAAAATTCTGGCTCACAGCAACTGCGTGCACTGCACTGGGATGCACGGCAGTTGCGGTGTGGTACATTTGCTTGAATGAGTAATGTTAGAAGGAAACATGACAGGGGTGGATAGTTCTCAGACTAGGAGAACTTGTCTTGAAAAAAGAAAATACAATTTACACTGTCGGTATTAGCTTGTTAGTAACACAATGGGGGGAAAAAAAAAAAAAAAAAAAAAAAAAAAGGAGGGGTCGTTTACACTAGCATTGCCCACTGAAGAGCAATCTGTGGCAGATCACTTTTCAGAGGATATTTGGGCAATACGGCCTGCGACAGAGACAGAGAGCAGGGGTAATTCTGCCACACTGCACATAAACACTCCATCTTCTGTCTTTGCATTTTTACGGTGAGCATTCACAGCTCTTCCATTCTTGACCATAAGGGCATCCCAAAGCAGTGCTGAAATGAGGGGTGGGAAAACCAAAAGACTGGAGCAAGCAGGCAGACATGCCAACCACCCACACAAGCCCCCCCCCCCCCTCCCCCAGAGGGAACAAGGAACCCTAAACAGCAGCCTACAAAACCTTGCGGACAAACAAGAATCTGAAGACGTGGACGCATCAATTTAGTAAACTTTGGTAAGAGTTTGCACAGACAATCAGGTAGTCACCTTATCAACCGGAGGCTCAGACACCTGATGTTGAAACACCAAAGAGGCCTCATAACTCTGGAGGAGCGTGCCATGAAAAAAGTATAATCCCTCAGGAAACAGTGGCAGATGAGGCTGCCAAGCCATTCCAGGGACCCTCCACAAACACAAATAAAGGAATTTTTACCTTTGAAGCCGTAGAGGACAGGTATGCATACACCGCCAGATCACATCCAGGGAAAGCAGTGCAACCTCCACAGTGAGTGAAAGTCCAGGACACGGGGAAGGCATGACAAAGCCCCTAATCAGGTGGAAATCCTACACCACCTTCGGCAAGGAGGAGGGACACTGATGAAGAACCTCCATATTTCCAAAGAAAAACCATGCAGGATAAGGTCGCCAGCACCGACGCCCACTGTGCAAAAGTGACAGCTACCAAAACGCAACTTTCTGAACTAGCAGAAGTAGAAAAATATCCCAAACACCCTCTAAGGAAAGCTTCGGAAAGACCAAAAGAACCAAGTTCAGGTACTACAGCAGTAACGGGAAATGCACAGTAGGCGCCAAATGGCAACCCCTTGGATGATGGTACAAAACAAGGATTGTGCAGCCAAGGGCTATAGAAAGATGATCACAGCGGCAGAAACCTGGTTTTTAATCGTACACAAGGCGAGCGTTTGTCCAACGTCCCATTGAAAAGACCAAAGTCCGGTCCACCAGGCAGGAGCGCAACCAGATACCCAGAGCCTCGCAAGACAGAAGACCATCTGGTGGCCAGGAGCAACAGAAGCACAGTCTGCGTTGCAGAAGTCTCATCTAGATAGCCCTTCCGGCAATCCCGTTGCCTCAACATCCGTACCAAAGTCCGCACCTTGGCAAAAGGAGCAGAGGCCAGGCCGACAATGTGCGTCCCTATCACAAAATATAGGATGTGTACATACCTAGCACAGATGGGGATGTGAAGGTACACATCTGATGTCTATGGAAGCCAGAAAATACCCTTAAATGAAGAGGGAGTCACCACAGAATAGATGGATTCCAGCCTGACTTCAGCACTCGAACATGGCAATATTCAGGATGCCCAGGAATGGGAGAACCCTGTCCCCTTTTGGGCTCCAGCCCCAAGACAATTACTCCCTAGAGAAGCAAATCCTGCCCAGCCTGTACAGGAAGGTGAGGATTGGATAGGAAAAATTTATCTGGAGGATAAGGAAAAAATGCTATTTTAAAGCCAACATAATCAGTTTGTGCATCCTGACATCAGAGATGAGAGAGGCCCACAGGCCCGCAAATCAGCAAGGATGTTTCCTTTGAAACAGTTGGGAACAAACCATGTTGAGGACCTGTTCATGAACTTCAGGGCCAGGAACACTTGGCATCATCTGCAGGTGCCTTAAAGGGAATAGTGTCCTGGTAGGAGGAGGGTAAGGGCAAGTCCACTCAGGTTGTTTAAGATTACTGGTCAATGGACCAACAGTTAAGCCAACAGACTTGGCAAAGCATCTTCGCCAAAGTGGATCGACTGGAGAGCAGCAGGGCTGCATCCTACACTTACTCAAGGCCCCGGACCATTGTCTACCAGGTCCATGCAGAAAGTGGACACCTGTCCTTTACCTTTTCGTTAGAGCTTGACCCACTCAGTAAGTGTCTAAAACACCAGGTCCATGGCAAACACAGGGCACAGCGCTGAACCAGCAATGAGAAACAGTGCGGACAACCAACTCTGACTTACAGTCCGCAGGGCCCTTATAAGGGAAGAGGCTCCTTTACTGGTATCATGGTCTCTGTCTTGAACCTAGAAAGGGGGGGGTCCCCTACAAGAGGAGAGATCCACAATTTCATTAGGAAAACCTCAAAAGCGTAGTATACCAGAGGATGCTTCAGGATCTCGAGGGGTTGCTTTGGACATTCCCATTATTTGTAAACCAATTTTTCAAACAGGCGAGATAATTTAAAAAAAAAAAAAAAAAACATAACTGCTTTGCCGGCTTATGTGCACCAAAGGGCACAGCTACTGTACCAGGAGTCCCCGAAGTATACTCACTCCTTAACATTCCGTGCACCTGGAAACAGTGAGGCCACCAGATTCAGTTTTTGCACGGGATCATAGTAGAGGCCTCACCCTCTCACAGAAGAATCCTCACATCATATCCTGTGAAACATAACATACATAGATGCCTAGCACAGGCCAGGGTAACACGGACACGGACAGCAGGCATCTGGTCATAGGTATCCCCATGAGACGATTAACTTGCTGGCCACACCGGTCCCAGGATAGGGCTGTCACAGCCCACATAGCGTGTAGCTAAAGCTCTGCGTGCGCTTGTTGGCCAGATTGGGATGACCACTAAACCTAGATCCATCCCGTCTGTTGATTAAAGATCTCTACAAGGAAAATCCCAGGGGAAAAAAACAAAAACCCAAGAACCAAGTACTTGCTCCTGAAACACTAGGCATAAATAACTGGCTTGCCTGTAGCAAAAAGGAGTTTATACCCCTTGGACTGCCCACAAGCAGTGCAGTGCTCTTTTTCTATCTAGTGTCCTACTCCTGCAGGTGGTGCTATAAACCCTATGGTCAAGAATAGAAGAGCTATATCCATGAATGAACGCAAGAGAAAGCAAGTAGGCGGTGCTATAAACCCTATGGTCAAGAATAGAAGAGCTATGTCCGTCACTGATCGTAAGAGAAAGCAAGTTTTTCTGCATCTAGGTCACAATTCCTCTGAAAAATAATAGCTTTAAAATAGCCATCTTTGCCCAGGGTTCAAAGTGCC